AAAAAGAAACACTCACACAGCCCAGTGTTCATAACTGCTAGAATTAAAAATACCTACCTGTACCGCTTATTTAAAAAAAAGAAAATGGCAATAACATTTAAACTACGTGTTTTGGTATGCTTTTGTTTTTCGTTTTTTTTTGTGTTTCGGTCGCGAAAATCAATGCTAGTGAGAAGAGCGATAACAAAAATATAGTAACAGATATACATTCAAACACATCATTGGAAATTCAGCAGACTACTATTAATGTGCCTGGAAAAACAATAACATTTTCTTTTAGCAATTGTATTGTATAAATTTTAATGTTAATTAATATTCTTTTACTTTTTCTTCTTTTCTTTAGTCTTTTATTATTTCATCTGTACATATTATAATAATTAATTTATAATTATTTTCATCGTATTTTATTATATACAGTATCTGTAAGTATTTACATTGGGTACAAGAAACAGACTTAGTTTTTGTGTCAATACGGCAGACTATAAAACTAATGACGGTCTAACTGGTTGTTAATTATTAATTTACACTCAGCCGTCAGTTCTAGTCGCATATGGCCGGCCATAAAATAAAACGACTATAATATCATCAACAATATTGCTAATTATACGACTGACCTAGTCTGTGCATTCCAGTATAGGAAAGTTTGTTAAATTAATCGATAGATGAGTATTGTTACTGAGAAGCACATTCAATAAGAAATCAAGTAAACATAAAGATCATGAATTTTTATGGTTGATAGACGGAATCCTTCAAATCTGCGTTCGAATTTCGTCCCCATACCATAAAACCACGCGTCATACGTGTGCATTTTCTTTTTATATACATATATAAAAAAACAGTGATAAACGAAGTGATAGAAGATAAGATGTTTTAGAGTCTCGATAATTATGAAACCACCTCGAAAATAATGATATTTGATATTTTGTTGTGTCATAAATAATCATATTTGAAAAGCTTGACCCAGAGTGTGCATTCCCATATAGGAAAGTATGTATGTGCCGAAGGAAGTGAATGACTAACACAAATATTCGTGGAACTGTGCCGCGTTGCGAATACGTTGACCTTACGACAAGTGCCGCGATTCGAGCGCGTTAATGTTGACACTGTTTGTATGTGGTTGTGTCGTAGTTGAACGAAAAATAAGATAACTGTTAAAATGTCTAGTATTTAAGTATATAAGGAAAGGCCCTGGAAAGTAAGCAAAGTATGTGAATGAATAGAATTCATTTCATAGACATAGCTATATCTCAAAATATGCATGACCCATAAATATGAATATACCTGTGATAAATGGACGTGGGTATATGGTAGTTTTAATGAAAGATTGGAGATAGACTGGGAGTGGATGGAGGAGAAAGGTGTAAAACCGATCTAAAGTTGCAATTTTACACAGTGAAATGTTACTGTACTCACTGTAGGTTCGTGAGTTTGGTTCCGTGAAATAGTAAGTACACGAAGAACTGTTCACAGTTTATTACGTCCACAAAACAGCATGCAGATAACAGTACAAAGCAGAAGAAATTTACAGGAAAATAATTAATACAACATTTGTAATACATAGGTAGCAGTAAAGCTCCTTGTGAAAGAGTTCATCCAGGGAAGTATAGCCAACTTACCTATTTCTGCCACCAAGCAGTACTGTGAGTCTTACTGCGTTCCGGTTTGGAAGGGTAAGGGTACTGGTAAAATTACTGGCACATGAGACTTGTTAACTTATGTCTGAGTAGTAGCAGTCGTAGTGACCCTCAGATCTTTACGATTTAAAGCTCTAAGTGCCACTGCAACTGCTGTGGATAGGCGTGTCATATATCACCAGGCGCACGACTTGTACGTCCCATCTTATATATACCTTGATATTATAAAAAAATAACATAATAGTTCGCAAAAAGATAATAGAGGTACATTTTTAGATCTTACATCAGATTCATGCAATCGAACATTTTGCTTGTCTCTTATGTAGGAGGGGTGCTGGTTGCGATATAGGTCAGAGGAAACCCTGAATTTTCTTTAATCATGTAGTTTTCATTCATTTAGTATTCCTTGCTTTAACAGTGAACGAATTCACCATTCAGTCGGAGAGGGTTCTCAAAACTTTTTTTAATATAATAATATTAAGTGAAGCGACGTGACGAACAAGTCATGCGTCTGATAGTAAGCTACACACCTGTCCATAACAATTGCAGTGTCACTCAGAGGTTTAAATCGCAAAGATCTGAGGGGATTGCTAATGCGCACGTCACCCTGAGACATAAGTTGATAAGTCTCATGTGCCTGTAATTTCACCAGAACCCTTAGGTACCCTTCAAAAACCGGAACACAGAAATGCTGACATTACTGCTTGGCGGCAGAAATAGGTAAGTTGGCAGTACTACCCTGGACGAACTTTTCGACGATAAGTAAATTCCCAAGTGACTTAGGCCCAAAATCCACTTCTTACAGAAAACCTGTGTCCAGTAGCAGGACATGGTTTTTTGGATGATGAATCGTATCATATAACCAATCAAAGAATTTTCTAATTAACCAATTTAACAGCAACAAGAATATATTGTATACGCTACGTTTGTGTGAGTTAGAGACTCGCCGGAGAGAAAGTCCTCGGGCCATTCACAAGGCGCATACAAATATTTGTGGACGCCTACTATACCAAAAACGGGTTTAGACCTTTCTCAGTTCTACCAACGACCTGTATGTAATGAGCTTCACGACAATCGTAATTACAAAATAAAGTCGTAAGCACCTAACGCTTATAATATTTTATAAGCAGTGAAAAGTTGCAGGGATGATAAATGATTTCAAAAATTAGTAACTCACTTGATACTCGTACATTACGCATTTAAGTATGTTTATTATATTAAATACTTAGACTGTGCTAGGTTTGAGTACTGTTAGTGTATTAGGAACTGTAAAACCACTCGCTTTCAGTTACGAATATGAATTTCTTGATTAGAAAAGTAAGAGCGTTCGTAGTTTGTACTAAATATAAAAAAAATTGCTCCACTACGCATATAACAATTTTTGTGTCCTATTTAATAATATTTTATTTTATTAAATAATCTTACCCATTCATATACTAGACACGCCTTTGTTCAGAAAGTCCTGCGTGTTTAATAAAAATCATAAAAGTATGTAACGCTTTAATACTAAAAAACCGTTTCTGTGCATGCTATATAATGTGGATTACATTACAAGAAAAAACAGCAAACGATGTTTGTCATATTAGCCGATTCAATTGCCGATTAAAATTCTTCTTATCATATCAATGGCTTACACTGTAATGCTTGTTATAATGGAAGGATTTGACAATCGGCGTAAGGTACAGGAAAGGATGGTAATACCTCGTGCGGGAAGGCTTCTTTCATGCACCCCATAGCTTAAAGTCATGTTTGAAGAATAATCTTGTTAATATTTTGTACTTACACGTTAAGTGTTGAAGTTTTTGCCTTTACGTCGTCGTGTTTATAACCCATTTGCAGATTCACATAAAAAAACTTGCAACAAATTTCAGGGTCTGACTTTTAGGAGGACATGTTTATATGGAGCGATGTAGATGGGTTCGTTTTGATAGACGTACATGAGTTGGTATCGAATCGATAATATTTTCCCGCAATTTACAAGATTGCGTGTAAACGACGACCGCAAACAACAAAAACATTATTTATGAAGTTACTTTTATAATTACATAGGTATTTTGTAAATGTAATTTCATTAATAGTTGTGTACATTGCTTGTGTGTATATATTTAGGTACATGCACTCCAGCTGTACACAAAACTTTCAGAAGTTATTTACGTTTATTTTTGTTCTTATCGGTGCAATAAAAATCAAGACGCTATTCAGCTGCATCGTTTAGATGAAAGCATTACTTTATTACTAAGCAAAATTAACTGTGATACATCTTCTGGCTCAAAAGCCTTCTACACTTAGTTTCTAGACTATTATAGAGCCGCTATGGTTGACGGAATAAAAAAATGGAAACATGAGTGATGTTAAGCTAAGTTTTGTAACACGTTTGTTACAACCTTCTCAAAGTTAAGTAAATAAATAATAAATGCAATTAAATGTCATCAATTATGTGTTAGATAAATACTCCATGAGTTGGTAAGTAAAAGTAACACACGAAATATATTGGCCTTGACTGTATGCCCTCGACACAAAAGATTTTGAAAGTTATTAAATTAAAACCATCTTGTATGTCTTTCATTGTTATTATGTACATTTATCGGTGTTTTTCCTTCTTGTTCTTAAAGCTGAGGAGTGGTGTTTTTGTTGTGTAACATAGCTTTTGTAAATCTTAGACCTAATTATGTTATTAAGTTGGTATTCTGGGAATTGATTTGTATCATTGAAATTTAGATTTTGTTTAGAAATTAGTTACTAATAAAATCTAACCATTGACTAAAGTTTTTATTAAAAAAAGTTAAAGAACTGATTAAAATAAGTTCATTGTTTAGTTTCAATAATTACATAGCTCGATATTACAAATTATAAATAGCATAATTTTTTTATCAACCGCGTACGCTTTACGTCACATTATCAATGGCTTTAGGCTAATTTACATACATAATCTTTAGTGAAAGTATGACGCAGGCCTCCCCATACTAATGCTCAAAATGTTTTAAGATTCTGGCTTCACACGACCGATGTCCATACTTTTCTCCGACGAGACATGTCGGTCGGAAATAAGTTGAATAAATTAATCAATCTAACCTCACCAACCCCTCTTGAAGCATCATAGATAAAACATTTATATACGCGACAAAGTATGTAACTTATGACACTTTGTAAGCTGCAATTGATGCACAGGTACGGTTTCATATTATTAGTTTAGTATTATAAAAGTATCATTAATAAATATGAAAATAAAATTGAGGGGACACGTGAAGGGACTTTAATAATCCAGCCAGGGCTCTGGTAAGAGAGTCGCTTCTGTGTCGTTGGTGATCTGTGCCCACTACGACTACCATCACTACTTTCCTTCCCTGCGTGTGTGACGTAACTCTATAAAAGAGTGTGCGGTGAAGACGCCGCCGCTATACCGTTTCCGCTCGCCAGGCTCGGCCATAGCGTCCCGACCACCGGCAAAGAAGGACGCGAGCGGAACCTCTTCCGCTGGAGCCCACAGTGACTAGTTCAACAAAAGGTGAAGTGACAAGGATACCAGTGCACGTGCTTTTGTGTTCGTGATGCAGTGTTGTGATATCGTGATAGCAACAGTGGCCAAGTGATAGTGTCTGATGTGGATTGGCACTGTCGCAATCGCGGTGTCAGCGAGGGTGCTCTAATTAAAGGCCTCCTGTTTGTTTCAGATACGAGATGAGGTCGTTATTCTTATTAGCGGCGTTGTGCTGCTTAGTGTTGTCGGCGTACGGAAGTCCCATCGTGCGACCAGAGGAGGTTGCTGAGCCTGCAAAGGAAGTAGGCCGACAAGCAGCTGCTGCTGCACCAGCCGCATCTTCAGACGATGACGACGACGATGATGATGACGATGTAGACCTTGATGATGCCTTATCTGGTACGTCTATAAAAATATTCGTTTCAATCGTAAGTTTTGTACAATGTTAGTTTTAGAAGTAGCCCACAGTTTTAAACCATTTTGAAGAACAACAAATAGTGATACTAGGTAGAAGTTATAGCAAGGTAATCCAGATATGAACTTTCTTTTACCAGGATGTCTAAAATTAGAAATCAAGTAAATTAGACTAGTCTTAACTTATCAGATTACAGGTAGAAATAAATCATAAAAATACAGTTAAGTAGAATCATACTGTACATATTATACGATTACATACGTCTGTTTTTTTATGACAAGTTTACGCTTAGGTGGTCGTAAAATAACCGATTATAGTGAGTGTGAATTTGCAGACAGATAAAGTTAGTGACCTGTTGATGGGCTTTACCGTTGAAATGATCAGGAGTGATAACGGTAGCTGTAAGACTACCATCTCGTGCGATTTTCGCTTCATTCATCGTGTGCAGGCAGCATTTTGCATTGTTTAACACAATTTACAAAATATTACGCGCTCTAGAAACACCTGTGCGGTTTATTGAAATCCTCAATAGGAATTGAAATTGTCGTGTATGCTTTAGCTTACAGATGTGCCAACTCTAAATGTAAAATTGATCCATCAGTAAACTATGCCAATATGCATTTATTAACATAAATTTTTAAATATCGTGTTGTTGTATTGCAATGTCCAGTTTTCACTTATTAATTCTTAAAAAAATCAACAGAAATTTTCTAAATTTGTAAAAGTCGCCGTCACTAAACGATTTTTACAATCGAAAGCTAATACACAAACTGATAACTTTCTCGATCTACAACAAGCTGTCTTATCGTAATTAAAATAATGTTAGTTTTAATCATGTTGTACTAAGAAAGTGTTACGTTTCATCGATAAAAATTCCTGAGAATCAGGACGCGGCGGGCAAAGCGGAATGTGAGGCGGCCAGCGTGACAGCCGCTCTCAATCGTTAATTAATTCAAACAGAAAGACTCAATCAGAGAAATTGACGCTCCCCTGCTTTCTACTGGCCTGGCTCCGGACGTCACGCACCGGCGCCGGCATCACCGTACCGCCAGTTCTGATTAACCGTTTGTCGTACGGTTTATGTGTAGGTGTCAATAATTGCGGTAATAGCACATGTATTTATTAAATGCTCGTTTCTAAATATAGGATGCCGGTAATGGAATAGAATCATCAGAAAAGAACAGTAACTCGTTTGTAACAATACTGGTTATTAGGGTTGCAACTGGTTTGAAATTATTGGCAAGTTTAGAAGTTTCTTTTTTATTGTAGATGATGATGACGACGAGGAAGAGGATGATGAAGAGAGTGACGATGATGATGACGACGACTACCTCGAAAGGTTCTTTGATGACATCTTAGGAGGAGGTAAGGACAAATTGCATTAGAAAAAAAATCGTATTTCCATCCTTAATCGTGTTAGCATTGAACTTACTAATTACAACTTTTTTTCTAGGTGAGGACGACGATGACGATGATGAACCATCAGCCGTCCAGCCCGTCGTAGCACCGGCCGACACTGTTGCGGCTGCTCCTGCGGCTCCTGCCGCCGCAGCGGCTCCTGCAGAGGAAGTAGCAGCTGCGTCTGAGGAAGTTGCCAGTGAAAGTGATGTTGATGCCGCCGCTGAGGAAATCGAACCTGAAGCTGGACAAAAAGAGCCCGCTAGTGCCGAAGTAGAGAGTGCTGCCGCAGCCGCCAGTTCTGACGACGCAGTTGCCGCTGACGCGGATGCGGAGGAGGACGATGATGAAGAGGACGACATTGCGGACGCGCTCGACCCTGAGGACGACGAGGACGATGACGAGGACGACGAGGAGGACGACGATGACGATGACGATGACGACATCACAGACGCGCTCGGCAGAAATATCTCCGTCAAGCACTCACGTGAGTCCAGAAAGCTAAAGGCGAGCGTCGCGGCGCATGCGAAAAAGACCGGCAAAAAAGCAAACTACATCGGCAAAATAAAGAAAACCAAAGCGACATCCGCCGCGGCAGCCGTCCCTGAACACAAAAAGTTCAGATAGTGAGTACGCCGCGTAGCCCAGGGCGAGCCGCGCCCCTACATCCACCTGAGAGACCTTCGCGGTCCCCTCCTTTAGCTTAACTATTTATTGACTATTTATTTATTTATTTAATTTATTTTATTTATTAAGTGAGTGTGTTTGATGTGTGAAAGTGTAAGTATGGAACCGAAAGAGTTAAAGTTGAATTAATGTCTAGATCATGTCACACCGGTCTCGTGGCAATTTATTTGAAATAAATCTGTTGTTCTAATTTGTTGTGTGAAATTATTACTTTACCTACGATTTGTGCGTACTAAGTATTTTCTATATACGTCTAGAGTAACTTTGGGCACCTTAGATCGGTCAGAATTCTAGTTGTTTAAAATTGCGTTCATTTGTCAGTTAAATGAGTGACATTATCTAGTGATATTAATTTAATTTTGATTGTGACAATAAATGTGTACTAGTCAATATTATCAAGTATTTATAAATACTCCTCTTACCCTTACCCATCAGTATTACGTATGTTCATAGTTGTACATGATTTATTATTATATTTTCATATATCTTACCTAAACTCCCATATTATTTCTATAGTACAGTTACGTAATATTATTGTATATGTACAGATTAAAATGTAGATTACTAAATAATTTTATAACTAGCCTTTTGACCGATTTATCTATGTAATCTAACGCACAAACCAATCTATGATCCTTTCCCTTTATCCCGTCTATTTATGGAACAACGACAAGTGGATATGAGATAGGAAGGCTGGATTACATTATAGACATTGTTATATACTTATATATTGGGAGTGGTATCAGATAGCGATCTAGAAGTGGAGGCGGGCGCAACGAAGGCAACGCGTCCGGGCTCTTGAGGAGGAACTAGTTCGATATAGATGTGTGTTAAGGGGTCGGCTGCGGCCTGTCCGCGTCCGCTTACTTTCCCAACAGTCGCTCGAACGATGAACCCGCTCGATTTCTTCTCCAGCCTTGACACTTTCTTTGACCTTGCTGCGGTCATGCCCAGGTCCGACCTTGATGCATCTCAGTATTTCGACATCATCTGTAGAAAGTAAATTGCATTGAATGTTTACTCTCACTTAAAGACAAATTTACCGCGAAATTTGCATGTCGGAACGTCCGGAATAGTGAAAACAAGATAATGAGATGCGAAAAGAGAAATTTTAAATGTTTGTCGTCGTGAAATGTTGGGAGAGTCGCGAGGAGTCATATTCGACCCAGATGGAACTTGTTTGCGAGTGGCACTGTCTACAAGGTGCACCGCCCAGACGCTGTCGTTGCTTCCTTTCACGTAATTCGAAAATTTTTATTGACTGATGTATTAATTAATATTAAAATAGATTAATTGTTGAAAGCTCGTAACAAAAATAGAATAGCCTGTAAGACAGCTATGAACCACGGTTGCATAACAGCTGGATGAGAAAAATGCGTGGGATGATCTGACAAGGTTATTAGCAGTTGAAACTTGGATGATAACTATCCGTTAACTGAACAGAGATCCAACAAATTAAACGGCCTGTAAAAGCGTTCTGTGCTATGTATGTCGCAATTAGATTTCTTCGACTGTACCCAGTCCGGCACGCAGTTTCTTTTACGTGTGGAAAATAGAAAATCCACCGTTGAGTGGTTGTTTTAATTGTGACAAGCTATTAGAATTCAACAATGGACTCGAACAAACCGATACAGTTAGGTGTTCGCGTGCTAAAGCGACGTGGTTAGAATGATGTGCACCAATCACATAAATTATATAGGTATATACGTATGGAAATAAGTAATTAAAAAATGTCATACGCATATCTGGTGAAGTAAACATTGGTATAGTTGAATAACAAGAATAGTATCCGTCGAAAGAGAAATTGTTTATTAATGTAATTTCCCGTTATGAGTTTGTCACAGCTCTCTATTGGTCAACAATCTTGATTTTAAGTAGTTACCTACTACATAGGTACGTAACACACACGACAAGTCAATAATATAATTTTTAATTAAGATAATATAAAAATAGACAATCGTGTTAAACAAAAAACAGAAAAAAGCTATTAATGATTTGATGTAAGTAACATAAAATAAACAGGCAGTATGTACGTCTGTGCATACTGACTGTTTGTTTGTTTGCAGCATATCAATCTACATGTTGATGGGTCTTGTGCCGTTGCAATGGAGGCAATATTTGATACAGCTATACACCTTCATGCGCTGTTGACTGTATGTACATACAGTCAACAGCTGACTGTAAGTACTTAGGAGCGCGACGGGAAGGGCGCGTGCCTGCAGCTACGGTACCTATCTAAAAATAGGAAGGGTGCTGTACCTGCACCCAGGGCGACCCACCTAAGGCACTAGGATTAGGATCTGTCTCAGGTGGTCCCTGTTCGGGTTCGGTCGCACAGGCCATAGTGCCCATGCCACATAACCAAGTGTTTGATAGGGAGGGGCACTATAAACAAAACTTATGTAGAAAGATATGGGACATAGGCGTATGTAAATTAATACCATTGATCACCTGAAAAACGAAATTCATTGATCTGAAGCAAATGCTTAAACAAAATCTGCAAATTCTGATGATGGCATTGTAATAGGTACAGTTCGTGCATTAGGTGATAATGATAAAGAATACTATCGTAACGTAATGGTATTTGAACGCAGGTGCCCTCACTGAAACGCCGATAAAAAGGACGCCCGTACCAGCGGTGTACATAGTCAAATACAATCGATTCATTGACAACATTCTCGAGAAGATGAACGATGTCTTGCGCCGTTCATACGATCCGGTCAGTGTCAAGTTACAGCCCATTGATGCTAACAAGAAGATCACAAAACCAAAGAAAAATAAGACAAAATCAAACAAGAGGTAAGGGTAACATTCATATTGTTGAAAATTTTATAAGAGAATTATTAAATAATTAGAAACAAAGTCGTGTTCATATAGGTAACTTACATAGTGAAATGAGTACTAAAGGAAACTTTGATCTGAAATACCTGAATTAAAAACTTTTATTATAATGTAATTAACTATTGTTATCATTTTCTAAACATCTAACTATAGGAAAAATTCACACAAGAAGAAGAATAGTGCTAGAGGCACCGTCAACAAATCAAAAGACCCCATTGCTGTCACGGCAGTACCAGAGAAAAATAATGAAAAAGTCAAGGAAGAAAACGCAGTCAAGGAAGAAAAACCCACCCTCCCAATGACCGAGGAGAAACCATCAGAGCAAGTTCTAAACGTCGCGTCTGAATCTAGAGCGCTGAAAGAGAAAGTGACTGAAAGTGGAAAAGCTAAGCCAACTAGTACCAGACCTAAAGCACCTACAAAACCCACTAAACCTAAGCCTAAACCGCCCGTAAAAACCACAACAAAGAAACCTGTTACGAAACCGAGTAAAGTAAAAACTACAAGTGTAAAGAGCAAGCCCAGAGCTAAAGGCACTTTGTATGGCCTATCGTCATTGAGAAGAGTTGGTGACGTAGCTGTGAATATTATGAGTGATCATACTACTGTGAAGAGCAATTTTGCTGTTGGTCCGTTAATATTAAGAGTTGAAAAGGAGGTGCGTAAACAATGATGGTTATTAAGATGATTGATAGTATAGCTTATATAAAATTTCAGACTATTTAGATGTTAGGTCTGCTACCTTGTTCCCTTCAGTTGGGAGAGCACCGGTTTAGCGAAAAAAATAGGTTCGAGTTTAGCCGGATCGAAGGAATTTTTCTTTATATTTGTTCGATCTTTGTTTAAATAATAATAACAAACTAAATCGCGTATATTTGTTTTTTCAAGGAGAATCGTATGTAGCGTAAATTAGAATGTGTTTAGGTAAATTAAGAATGAGGTAGGTATTTAAATTTATAATTTTTGTAACTATAGTTCAGAACAGGGTGGTTTGCGTTAATGTTAGACATGATCATAGCTGCGATCATGGAACCTGTAACGTTGATTTGTTTGAAAAAGTAGCTTCATTGCGTGCAGTTTCCTCGAACAAAACTGCATTTAAAAAAAACCGTTTGATCCTATGCTATGTATGATCCGCATGCTTTCTGAAAATGGTCTGAAACACAGACATCTAGTGTCTGTGGTCTAAAAGGATATGATATTCAAAGTCATAGTGCGGAACCTTATTAATCTTCGAACGCAATCTTAAAGGTATGGAAATATCACGTGGATGGCGGTCTATTAGTTTACAGGAGAACTAGTTTAAGTCATCCCAGGCATGGTAGTTACAGTTTGTCTATATGCGAAAACTCGTATAAATTACAGCGAAATTTAAGCCAGACACGTGAGAAGCTGAATAAAGCAAAGTTTATATCACGGCATTTTAAGACACGTTCCTGCAAAGCTTGCGTCAGTTTGAAAAGTCCTTAAGGTTGCCAGCCAAGACGTTCGCGACAGGAATCTTACTTGTAAATAATTGGTTAATCCATTTTAAGGTTGGACGTGGAGCTAAAAAGGAAATCAAATCGGCAACTGCAACTACAGCGGAAATGACAGGAAAGATCAGTTTGAGGGTGAACAACCAAGGAGTCGCTTCGTTACATGCTATCAAGGTTCTCCAACCTAAGCAGGTGTGTATAAATCAAATCACTTACTCTTACCTTATTTTGTTGTTTAGACAGATTCTTATCCCCGTAGCAGTACATAAAGTACTTTAAAAATCAGTTTGAGAAATAAATATATAAATATATAATTATGTCAGCGTCATTTTGATTGCCTCTCCCGATCGGAATCTGTGTCTCTTCAGAGTCGAGACGCATAATTGCGATTCACAACTGGCCGATCGGAAACTTTTGACATTTCAAATCGGAACAATAGTTCATTTTACTCACAAATTAGAAAGATATACTACGAATCAGGGGGTCTACTCTCGATCTCCGTCCGACATCCGTCCGAAACAATTACTGTCAAATAAGTAATATTCGACAAAATTAAAATAAAAGTATCCAGTATGACGCTTCATTTGCATCACGCGTCTTTTCATTTGGTCAAGTATTGCTTATTTGGCAGTAATTGTTTCGGACGGATGTCAGACAGAGATCGAGAGAAGACCCCAGGTTCATCTTCTCGCTCGGAAAGCCATTTGTTTTCGAGACTACCCGATCGGTTCGATTCTGATTTGAATCAAAATCAGCATGCTGATGACAGTAATTTTTATAGGGCTCCTCTTTCCTTCATTTGTTTTCTTCATTCTAATATTTAAAAAAAATGTATCTTGTGTATCTGCTCTTGTATGTTACTAAAACTAACCTTTTAAATGGCAAATGATATACTTTTCGGATTCAAATAGCGTATATTTATCGAGTTCTTAGGTTTTCGCGATTGTTACACATAGGAAATGAAATGGTCACGGTTGTCAACCGTGACCATGGGACCTGTAAAGGGCCCGAAACGTCGGTTTGTTTGAAAAAACAAATATACGCGATTTAAATCCGGAAAAATAGTTTCATTTCCTAGCGTATATTTGTTTTTTTTTTTTTCAAAACAAACCAACTGACTGACAGTCTGCCGTGACCATGGGCATCTGCAAAGGGCCCGAAATATCGTTTTTTTTTAAAAAAAAACAAATATACGCAATTTAGATTCGATAAAATAGTTTAATTTCTAATTTTACTATTTTTTTCTATTATTATATTTATTTATTCCACTTGTTTCAAACTGTCATGTAAAGTGTTTCTATTATACCCAGGTTCGCGTGGACAGCAACCATGAACGCACCCGTGAGTTAGTATGGCGACGTAGCGCGAGAATCGCCCATGTCGTTTCTGAGAAATTGCTATCGGCGTCCAAACCCATGTTCCATCAACAAATAGTCGAAAGGCAATAAATAGTTCTTATTGTTCAATTGGTGCATTTGAACTATAATTCCATTAGGATGTGTAATTAATTCCTGTGGCACAATATTCTCCATTTAAAAACCAATGGATGATGGATTTAAGCTTAAAAGTTCAAAGAGCTGTATTATATAAACAATTACTAAACTGACAACATTCTCGTAATCAATAGGTTTATTTTTATATTTTTACATACCAAGAAAGATTTTTTTAGACGTTACTGTCGTATATAGTCAACGGGTTCTTTAAATTTCTGTGTCACTTATAAAATGCTATTACTCATACGGCATAAATACATCATTGTGAACTTTATAGTTGTAGGTTAAGATTGGGTATTCGTTGTATAAAGCATAATATGAGTGTTTTTTCTATCTGAATAGTACCACCAATAATGGCAAATAAAAGTTTCACTCGCGTTTATGTCGAGAGTTAATGGATGTCAGTGTTAACTGGTGGTCATGCGTTCATGCATAGATTGAAGCTATTACATGCTCCAATATAAACGTAAAAAATTCAAAAACTATAAAAAACATTCACCTCTCAAATAATTGGCTTAATACAACGATTACCATTGAAGATGTTAGACTGATTTTAGCGAATTTACGGCAGAATAGTGCATTTAGTATTTTAATTGGATTTTTATTGGAACAAGAGCTGAAATCAAAATACTTGCAAAAGGAGGCGATCCTGTTTAAGAACAATAATAAAATGTTATTCTGGTGACTGTGAAAGTTTACAGCTCTCGTTGAAGTGGGGAAAAATTAAAAATAACAATTAAGTTGTATAAGATACTCATTATTTTTGTATAGTCGATAATGCATTTATTACATGTAATTTAATGGTGCTAAGTTATTTAAACAAATACCTAGTGATTACTTTTAGGTGCTATTTATTTAACGACATAATATTACACTTTTTTAATAATAGAAACTGGGTTTCATTTGTCTTAAGGAAGCCAAAAAACAAAAATGGTAGAAAAAAGTAGTTAAGTATGCGAATTTCCTATGTAAGTTTAATTTAGAAAGCTAGATAACCTGTTGATTTATGTAGTGAATTAAGTACACAAACGAAAACGAAAAACGTAAAACCACAAAAACTTACAATCTAAGTAAATAATAAAAAAAATGAAATAAATAAGCCATAACAACAACAGTTTTTACAAAGATATTTAAAATTATGGACTTCTAGATAGTACTCTTATACACAATGAAAAAAGCAAAACTTCTATTAAATCAGTTCGCTAAGTATAAAATTTAAGGCGGCTATCACAGCGCTACGCGCGACACTTCAATTTAAGTCTGTTGCATTAATACGCGACTCTGTTACGCGATAACTACACTGTCAGCGACTCTATGCAACTCAATGCGATATACTAGTGTCGCGTGTCGCCGCGGCGGCCGGTAGAGTGCGCGAACTACATAAAAACACCTTATAGCGCACCCTCAATGTAATAAGGCCACATCTGCAAAGTAACAACTTTTTAGGAGAGATTCTAAGAAATTTTGAATTTAGTTAATAACTTTTTAAGTTCAATGGGAACTTTATAAAATTTCATATATACGTAATTTCGACTCCTCCTCCATAATATATCGTAAATCACAAAAAGGTAAATTTTGTAATAAATAATTTTATTTTTATATCAAGTATATTATTAGTATATTATACTTTGCAGTAAAATTATACGTGAAAAATAATGACTATGTATCAGATTTAATTGTAATACCTTGAGAATCGTAAGTATTAAGCTCACTATAGTCGTTTCAAATACATTAAAACATTTCTTTGTAGAATTGTGAATTTGGGCTTACAATTTTTTACATAGGACGGATCGACTTGTTTTATGTAGTTCGCATTATTTTTAAGACTTAATCATGTAAATCATGTGATAAAAATACTTTTGATATATGATGACATATGGCTTTATTATACCAAAGGTACGATATGAGCACAACCAATTTAAATACTTAAAAGGCTCTGATGGGGCTTTGCTCCATACATTTAAAAAATATGTACAAAAACAATATGACTGCCTCCAATCTTTGGTAAATTCCTTTCATACTCCAAAGTACTTTTTACTTATTACCTGTACACTCACATCACTTAAAAATAAACTACATTCTAATAATTAATTACTAATCACACAATTCTATACATTTTGCTCTAATTCCGGTCAATAATTGTCAATGTTGAGGTAGCAACACACATGTTAATTCCTAGTATAACGTCATGCGTGTATTTTTGAAAACGAAAGTAGTAGAACAAAGTACGATTTTTTAAATGTAAAGACGTTTTTGATTAAGCATGTGTATTTGCACCTTTATTTTGCGTCAACTGTAAAAAAACTTGCAGCAACGCAGGGGATTCGAAGTACTACATTTGAAATTGTTAATTAGTGAGTTAAAAAACCATTGGACTATCGCGGCTTATCGCGTAAGCCTTAGAGAGGCTTGTGAAAGAAGACTGCGTAAAGCGCCAGCCCATATAGCGCCCGGGTGCACCCATTACCCTGGCGCTCTCTGGCATGCACGCGATTACAATGTTATATTCTGCCCAGTGATCGGAAATTCGTGTGCAAATGATGCAATTATAAACGAGGCTGTCAGCGCAAAAATGGTGAAACTGACATTAAATTTGTTTCACTATATTTAAAAATTATAATAATTAAATATTTTTACGTGACAATAGCATTAAAATATAAAATAATTATGTACTTTAGTATCATTTAAAGTAATATTGTAGAAAAAAAAATTGAATGTGGGTTACACCACTTTCGAGCTAATAACCTCAAATGATGTTAGGAAGCAATAGTCCGTTTATTTCGTCTGTGCCGCGAGCGACATAAGCTCTTTTAAAAGCTGTGAAGTGTTTTTTTGAAAGCTGTGAAGCTTTCAGAGCCCCGGACCAGAGAAACCGTGTTGCGGGTACCACGGACAGACTCATAAGCAAACCACAAATACACCCAAACTCACGAGATAAATAAATGTAGGCCATACAAATATTTCACTCGGTCCGGGAATCGCACCCTGGACCTATGCTTGGCTGACCATGGTAAACGTTCGGTCACGCCACCGAGGCAGTTTTTGGAGGTGAAGCGAGCGGCACTTGGCGCCTCTGAAGACCCCGCGCCCCTGCGCCGCACACCCTGCACCATAGGTAAAGCCGGCAAATGTTATTGTAAAGAGCTTCGCCGCTTCGAGCCCATATGTTTTGAACGCACGTTGTATGTGGATGGAATGTATCTGTTCTTAGTATTATTATTAGACAACAACATCACATACATTGCTCCGATCCCAAAGTAAGCAACTAAAGAATTTGTGTTATGGAAATCGGAAACAATTACCGTACCATAAACACCCAGACCTGAGACAATATAGAAAAGTTAGTTTTTCTACTTTCTACATTGACCCGGCTGGGGATCGATCCGGTGACCTCAGAGGTGGCGACAGAGGTGACCACTTGACCACGTAGATCATCCTAGTATCTCACAAATGTGAGTGACAAGGCAATATTTGGGCAAAGTGCAGCTTGACGTGCCGTGACTGTATATAATATGTAGTGATTCAGACCCAGGCAATATTATTCCTTTGATCACGTAAACTCGCTGTGTTCATTATAATGAAAACCTGGCATTCAAATTTAGCGCTATAAATATAATCTATATAGCCATAGAGTATATGGAAAATAACATTTTTCATACAAAATGAAGGCATTCTTGCGTGAGCCTGAAGCAAGTACATATTAATTAATATTTAGTACATATTAATGTACATTGGACGTTTAGCGTATTTCCTATTGTAGTTTGCTGGGTCGTAAAAGGTTAAAGAATAGGTAAAACAGTATTAGCATTTCCTTTGCTAGACAATACCGAATACGTACAATAATTGAGAGCAAGTTAAATTCCGAATTGAAGACAAAAAACATCGGTACTGGACTTTTTAAAATATATATAATACAAATCATTTATGCTTAAAGTCAATTTAAATGCAAAGAAAATCTTAAAGCTACGTGTCATTGACCTCATTTCGCAGCGATTTTAGTGTACCATTCTTGCCATTTAACAAAGGTATACTATTGGATCCCTGTGCGATAACTACTTCAGGAAAATCTTCGTCAATTTGTTTCAAAGACTCGTATGTCGGCGGAGGCGATACGTTGCTCGTGTTGTTGATTAATGGTAAGGGAATTTGGCCAGTGAGGTCTGAAAATAAAAACCAAATAAATACTAGTTATGGATATTAAAAGTACACTTTAAATATAAATAATGAATGAAATAAATAAATAGGATTTTATTCAGGAAAAACAATCACACACACACACCCAAGGATATTTTATCAAATATTCTTTTTCTTTATTATACTTCGCAGGATTATATTACAAACATCATAAACAACAACTTTTGTTCCACGACGTTTCATTTTCATTCATTAGATTTTACTTTCGTACAAATATAGATATATCAACGGAGATAAGTCTGTGCGGTAGCAAAAGACAGCACCCACCACTAAAATTATATTTATAAATTACAACACGCGGGAGGTGTTGCTAAAAATACAGTTACAGTTTCAGTTAGCACAACAAAGACATTGTCGGAATACAACAACACACAACGGAAAACAAATTACAATTAGGAACAAAAGGTCTACCACAAAAACAATCATCGTTAATCTTATTTAAATGTTACTATTTTTTTCTTCTTTTCTTGATACTAAGTAATGGGACGAACAAGTCCGTAAACGACCTACGAACGCCTTTCCATAATAGTTGCAGTGCCACTCAGAGCTTTAAATCGCAAAGATCTGAGATGCACTGCCTCTGCGCCCATCGCCCTGAGACATAAGTAGAAAATACCCATGTGCCTGCAATTTTACCAGCACCGTTACCTTTCAAAATCGGAAGGCAGTAAATGCTCACATTACTGCTTGGCGGCAGAAAATATTTACTGGTTAGAAGTGATATATATTAATACAGTTACACCATAAAAACATAACAAGCAAAACAAATGAAATCAGGACGCCAAAGTACATATGAATGATACCAGACATTACTATTTCATTGCGGACCAGCAATGTGGACCAAGTAACAAGTAAATGATCAATTTGGAATATTACAAAATAAAATGAATATCTAAAACATGACTCATCTTAGTCAATAAAGGAATTTTGCTTTACTAAATTTGTAATTTATTTGGTATTCATACCCGCTTCGATAATGCCTATTGCAGTCTATAAGTGTGTTTCGACCATTATATTGTATTTCAAACATCGATCAACAAATACATAGTCAACAATGTGGGCGCTGCGCTGAATGAAGAGGTCTTGAAAAATCCATTAAGATGATATAAGAGTACCAATTTGGGAAACAAACCTTTATAAATTGGTTTGGGTGTTCTGGGTAGTACCACTAAGTTAACGTCGTGGCTTTGGTGGTGTTTAGAATACAGGGAATTTTCTAGTTGAGGCCAAGTCTTGGTATGGTCTACTAGACCCTCACACAACAATGCATCTAAAACCTGCGGGCGGCACAAAGAAAGATGGAACGCGTCATCGTATCACTCTGAGTGACAAAATAAAAATCTAGAGTCTACTAAGCTAACTGACGTGGGGCGTGTCATAGCCGCAAACAAAATAGCGATAGCCTAAAATATTAATTATGAATTTTTGAATTTTCGAAAAGCGATATTCCCCGGCAATGGCACAGTTAGCTGGGGTCAGGGACTCAGGTTCAACAACCGGCGAACAATACGTGCAGTATTGAGCAGAACCGCTTTCTGCATTTGTGCTGGAAGTGACAAGCCACAGATATCCAACCGCGTCAAGCTGTTAACGAGGATGACCGGAGTTTATTATTTTTAACAATACCTTGTAAAGTGCTATCAAGATCATTCAGGGCCATGACAATAACCACGTTGGAGCCAGCCCCGCTGAAAACAGACGTGACGCATTTGCGCGGCGACAGCAGTACTAGCGGTTGACCCCGTGCTCGTAACGAGCTTGACAGCGCACAGATACCTTTCGCTGCTGTGAAATCGGCACCTGTAAAAAAAATTAGCAGCTCTTAAAATGATTTGACTTTATTGCTGTACGACTAAAGCGAAGCCGAAAAGAAGGTTATGATTGTAGCAGTATAGAAATGTATGTATATGTATTTGTCTGTTCCCTCATAAAGCCTAAACTCGACCGAAATACTTGCTGTTACAAACTGACACTCAGCAGTGCCTCTAGAATGAGATTACAGTGTCAGTCATCGCTAGCGACCGCGTAAAAAGTTTGTATACAAAATATTGTTTCTTCTTGTCACCGCTACGGGCGCTGAATAGTTTGCCATACAAAATTGTGAAGTAATCGCTAGCGACAACTGTCACAATAAACTCGTGGCAGAGTCACAGTTCTGATCATGCGACAACTGTCACAGTAAACTCGTGGTAGAGTCACAGTGTCATACAGTTGAATTTAAACACAGAAGCTGCCTTTCTACCAGAGATGTGCGACGTAGCGATCTGTGTGCGAGGATAAAATCCACTAATAGGATTACTTCATTGTTCTAGCCTCGCTTAGCGCAGCTCCGGTGGAACAGGGTTAGCGGAACGTATTTGTACAAACAAAATAGCGAGAGATGTGTGCGACAGCTGTGTGCGAGGGATGCGGGCGAGGAACATGTGCAAACCGGTGTAGGAAATTAGAGCAAAAACTATGACACTAACTGACACTAACACATCGCCATCGCTCACCCCACCACACCGTACTCCGCCCGCGTAAAGCTGAAAGAGTCCATAACGCATCCTCGCACCTCGCCGCTGCATATCATGTCACCGCCTAGCTACCTCGCACAGCTTTGGTGGAAAAACATCCCACCGTTTCACAGCGCCGTTACACAACCTCGCTACCTCCCACATCTCTGGTGGAAAGGTAGCCTAAGTCTTAAACTAACTATAGCTAAATAAATAAGATCATAGGACAGTAACCGGGCATTGCCCACAAAATATATTTATATATATATATAAAAAAATCTTAAAAATAAAATAACCTCTCTATATCTACAACATTTAAAGTAGTTTCCCTCCGCATCGCAAAGTCGTGAGAATATGTATTATACTCGTATTATATTTCATTTTCACTTAAAAAATGGCTTACCAAGTACATATCGACAGTCTATAACAATGGGCATGCTGCATCCACCCTTCTTCTTAGCAGCTCTTTCCACATATTGTCTGATGTACTCCACTCCAGGGAAGTATAAGCTATTGCCGACTGTCACTAGAAGGTAGTTGAAGCCTGAAGGTGACTGGAAATATGAAAAGAATCGTATTAAATAACCATTCTATTAAAGCAATCCAGTTCTAGTCGAGGACAGAGTAACTATTTAGTAGTACGACACTCATTCAATTTATGGTTTCTGGAACCATAAACCATAAATTGAAAGAGTGTCGTACTATTTTTTTTTCCCAAAAAAAGTTGAGTAATACTGTACCGGGGCGATGTTAAAAGACGCTAATTTAGTTGCTACTTTATATCTAATTCTTATTTATTTAAATATAAACGTAACAATTTTTTATTATCACTTTTTTTGTTACACTAAAAATGCCGGTGTGTGTGTGTTAGAGGCAGCGTTTGCTCGACACTTTTAGGGCGATTTGACGAAAACATTTCTTTCTCGCGTCTCTTATCAGTTAATAAATAATTTATTATAAACCATACCGTAGCAATCTCAGCGTCAAGCTGTGGCCTTGCACTGGGATACAGCAGCAATATGACGTTGATGGCGACTCCAGCCAAAATACCTAACTCGACGCCGACTATGAGGCAGAGAGCGAAAGTCGCGAACGTAGGAACAAGGTCAGCGCGTCGAGATCGCCACATCGGCTTAACCACCTACAAAGAGTAATGATTGATAATCACAATATATCAAATAATCCAAAAGCACACAAGGCAAAAACTTTTTAAAAGTAATGTATAATATTATATGTATGATTGTTTGTATTGATTATGAATTTATATTGGATATATAGATAACAACGCTTTGGGCTTTACTTAACTTTGTAAGTAAACTAAAGGTGAATATAAATGTTAATTATTTTTACACTATTTAGTGTTAAATGTTAAATTGACGTAATCATAATCTCAGTACAGAGTACTAAAAAAACCGACCTCAAAAGTGCGTGGAATTACATCTATTTGCCAATTTTTATTGAAATCGGTTACCGGAAAGTACGCAAACCCGGATTCATCCCCTAGTTCGCCACTATACGGGACTTGACACAGGAGATAATAAGAATCGGTTCTCACTACTCAAAGTAATTGAGAGAGAAAAATGCCTTGAATTGGAGAATAGCAAAATCAATCATAAAAATTATTGCTCCTTATAATAAAATTTAGGCACTATATATAAAAATGAATCTTCATGCGTGAACAGCCACCCGTAAAGGTGGACGATTTTCTTCAAAATTAAATGGGACCATTATGGAGGTACCCTCTTTCCAACAAAAAAATAATCATCAAAATCGGTTCACAAATACCGGAGTTATCGCGTAACATACATACAAAAAAATACAGTCGAATTGAGAACCTCCTTTTTGAAGTTGTTTAAAAATAAAAAAGTAGTAGGTCTATTGGATTTTTACAGGACTGGATGGTATTTACTACACCGACAAGAGCCTAGTTCTCAATTTTAAGAAAGAGAGCACGAAGTTTTTATTATATTAGTGTAAGTCAAATTATCTTCATTTGTTTTACTTGCATTGTATTGTATTGAAATAAATTTACTTTTATCTTTACTTGCTTTATTTCACAGTATATAAATAAATACAAATTTGACGACCTCAGTGGTCGAGTGGTTCGCGCACCAGTGTTCATGAAGTCGCCATTTCTGAGGTCCTGGGTTCGATCGTCGGCCGGGTCAATGTAGAAAAACTAACTTTTGTATATCGTCTCGGGTCCGGGTGTTTGTGGGACCGTCATTGTTTACAATTTCCATAGCACAAGTGCTTTAGTTACTTACTTTGGGATGGGAGCAACGTACGTGATGTTGGCTAATACACACATCAAAAGTGTCTAGGGATCAAGTACGTTTAAGAGTATTGCTGCAATTAGGGTTAATTATATTAACTTTTTTGTATCGCTATTGATACTTTTTAGTGAGTTTTAACATTTAAATAAGGAATATTGTTTAAAATTCGATAATAAGAAGAAAATCGATTGTCAATGTGGTTTTGTATAAAAATGAGTTATAGCGTTTTGACAAAATCATTACAATATCTGCATCGGAACCGAAACAATTTACATTATTATGGAGAGACGACATCATTTAACCCGAGAAGTGATGATGCGAGCCGTCGGAATGTTGGAAGCTGGTTCCAGGCAACGTGCTGTGGCTTTCACTCTTAACACTACACAGAGCGTCATAAGTCGCCTCTGGACGCGCTATCGCATGACGGGCAGCGTGGCCGAGCGACATGGAGGACGATCTCGCATCACGACTCGCAGACAGGACCGGTATATCCAAAATACTGCTCGACGGAATCGTACCATGACCGCCATGATGTTGGTTACGAGGCTCCACAGCTCCTCAGGCTTACTAATAAGCGATTAAACAATCCGAAATCGTTTACGTGAAGTGGGTCTGCGATCCCGAAGGCCGCTCAGAGTCCCACCTATTGCACCCTGCAATCGCAGGTCCCGTTTACGATGGGCTCGCGAACACAGAAACTGGGAGGAAGAAGACTGGCGCTATGTGTGCTTTTCGGATGAATCCCGCTTCGGTATGAGACCGGATACAAGACGTACTCGAGTTTGGAGAACATCTGGACGTCATGAACGTTTGAGATATTGTCAGGAAGTTCATCCATATGGTGGGGGAACAATAATGATATGGGCCGGTATTTGGATCGGCGGAAGAACCGATCTCATTTGGATCAGGGGTAACCTCAATGCTCAAGTAACCTCTCTGCGTAAGAGAGGATTGTTTCAGATGTTATCATCCCTTTGCGAGGCCAGTTGGGTGATTCATTTCAACTAATGCATGACAACGCACGTCCACACACGGCTAGAGTCGTAACACGCATTCTTGCCGAAGCTCGTAACAACGTTCTGCCGTGGCCTGCTCAATTGCCAGACCTCAATCCAATTGAGCACGCATGGGATATGCTTCAAAGAAGAGCTGTGCCGAGTATGCATACCGTACATACTCTACAACAATATTTTGACTTGTTACAAAACACATGGGCGGCCATTCCTCAAAGTGATTTTGATGAACTCATCTTAAGCATGCCAAATCGCAGTAATTGTGTGATTCGTGTTAATGGTGGAAATACAGATTATTAATTTTCTTATCTTTACAATAAAAATGAGCAAAATCATCATTTTCGCCATTTTTTTGTCATTTAATTGACGCCGTTAATTTGAGTTTTTTCCCACAATTTGCAAAAACATCAATTTTAGTTTATTTTAATTAAATATAGGGGTAAGCGGTTAAATAAAACATAAGCATTAAAGTAAGAAGTCGTCCTGGAAGACTGGATTTGGTAAATATTGCTTAAATAATTTTTATTTAAAAAATATTCACTTGATCCCTAGACACTTTTGATGTGTGTATTTATATAAATAATTAAATGTATTACTTACCTCGTATTCTATCATAAATATCACAGCACAAATTACAACGGCGGCGAGAGACGCTTTCGGAATGAAATAGAAGTATGGAGTTAGGAGACTTAATGCAAGCAGTACCAGGATACCTGAAACAAATAAGCAGAATGGTTAGTTAGTACATCGTAACGCTATTCTTATATATTTCGAACGAATTTCCAGCACACACACAAACATGGGCAGCTTAAAAATGAATATTATGCAATACGTTTCTTTCAAATGGAGGATTAGTAATAAAAGGTTTTAAAAAATCGTGTTGACAAACCAAACAGCAATTTTAAGTTCTGGCATAATTTTACATAGTACTTTGTGTGATAAGAGAAAATTATGCTCTATAAAAATGCATTCGTATTGGCAATACCTGTATACAAGCTGCCAAATTGCGTGGCGACGCCACTAGCGTGGTTCACAGCACTTCTGGAGAAGGAACCAGTGATGGGCATCGCTCCGACGAATGATCCGAGAATGTTTGAAAGTGATAACGTTAACAGCTCTTGCGTAGCGTCAACTGATTCTCCACTGGCTGGAATTGACGAAAGTAGTACATTGTAATTATAAATACAAAGATCGAACACAAAAAAAAATCTTCGATCGAGTGAACTCGCACCAATATCTGTTTCCATGCTGGAGCCATCGCTCTTAACCATCGAGTATATAACCAGAAATAGAGACGAAATAAGGACCATCCATTACTGGCAACTCATTAAATGGTAATATATCAACTTTCGTTTGCGCTGAAATCACAAATTAGAAAACTGAAATAGTACAGCGCCAACTACTGACCTGTGTGTACGTTTCCGTATATTCCCAAAGTATTCTGTATTTATTGCAATAAAGATAATAATCTCTAACAATGAGGGCTGTTCCATTCGGTGGTGTGGGAAAAACAGCAAAACATCTAATTACAAAACAAACGGAATCACATATCATCGGTAATTAAATATATAATATGATTTTCCAATTTTCGCCCATTATAGCAAAACTCAAGTTAAGCTGGTCGATTTGAAGTAAAACAATTGACGACACCCGTCAATACCATTATGATTGTTAGAATAAAATTGTTTCGAATTCGGGCTGGCCAATCGGAGCGCAGTTGTCACAGTAATGATTTGGCAGAATAGTTTTCAAACAAATTAAATGACATTTCGTCTCTATTTCTTACTCAATGCTCATAACTAATTACAGACCATGTCATCAGTCGTTACAAATTTTTTTGTAAGGTTTAAAGGGCTTTTCGCCGTCAGCGCTCCTGTGAGAAACTGAAAATTGAGTAACTTCATATTCATTTGCAAATACTCTACGCGATAACATAGACATAGTCCGCAAAGCGAATTTTATGTTGGAATAAATAGCTGTCAATTTTTGCTGTTTACCTATACTTTTTCGATATTTATTTATTTCTTTTTCAAATTTAATAAAAATTTAATAATTCATAATTAATTTATTTGTGAAAACACAGGCTGTATAGAAGCTGACATGTACGTAATCTCAGTACAGAGTACTAAAAAAACCGACCTCAAAAGTTCGTGGAATTATGACTACTTGCCAAGTTTTATTAAAATCGGTTACCGGAGAGTGTGCGAAAACGGATTCATCCCCTAGTTTGCCACCTTTAGAGACGGAATATTTTCTTCAAATTTAAATGGACCCACAACTGAGGTACCCTCTTTCCAACAAAAAGAATGATCTAAATCAGTTCACAAATGGCGGAGACATCGCGTAACATAGGTACAAAAAATGATATATGTAGAAGAATTGAGAATCTCATCTTTTTTGAAGTCGGTTAAAAATAAGTAAAGTTTCACTGTGTCCAGTCAAACATTAGGCATACAAATATTGAAGGTATACATTCATTGACGTGTATTTTGACAGACTAAGCTAGGTGTAATATGTTTCTTTCGCAAGAAATGGTCGTGCACTAAAGACAGATTCAATAGGTTAGTCAGTCAACGCGATGATAGTTACATGGGTCAAATTTATTAATATTAATTGTAAAATATAAATAGATGTCAAAATACTAATCGTAATTTGAGTAACGTCAAAATAAATACACAAATGTCAAAAATTTGACAACGAATTTAAGGATTTTGTCGGGAGTTTGTGGAAGGTACCGGCCTTGCTAATGGCGTCGTCCGCCATAATTTTTATATTGTTTTTGCAAAAGTACCGTACATAGCAGTGGCGAAGTCCTTATAACTCGATTCCGATCGGCTCACAACGGGCCCAAATTGATAATTCTTGGACATAAGAATAACTTGTGGAGTATCGAGCTAATTTTTTTTATATGATAGATAATGAATGAAAGAAAGAGAATGATTGGACCTATATTGTAAATAAACCATGCACATTACATTTTCCTACATTTCGAGATAAAAAATAAAATGTGTATTTCTCCAAACAAAAAAAAAACAAATTTCTTTTTTTTCTCTGAAACAAACAGCTTTTCAAGAAATTACATAAGAATAAAAGTTATCAGGAATATTATTATTTATCATATGAAAAAAATCAGCTCTGTATTCCTAAAATTGTTCCCATGATTAAATAATAATTGATAATTCTTGGACATAGGAATAACTTGTGGAGTACCGAGCTAATTTTTTTTATATGATAGATAATAACATCCTTAACAACTTTTAACTATAATTTCTTGAAAAGTTGATAGTTTCAGAGTAAAAATAATAATAATTATTTTTATGTATGGAGAAATACACATTTTATTTTTTATCTCAAAATATACGAAAATGTAATAAGCGTGGGTTACTTACAGTATAGTTCCAATCATTTTCTATGTAGAAAAAAATAATCTGTCTACATGTACTTGCGGCTTTGAAAGTAAAGGTGCGTTGTAAGGAATGTTATTTATCTATCATATAAAGTAAAAAATTAGCTCGATACTCCAAAAGTTATTCCTATGTCCAAGAATGATTAATTTGGACCCACTGTGCGGCTTACCTAAAAATTTCCGCGTACCAGTGGCAGCGCGCATACTCCACCACTACGCGTAATAACTTGTCCCGATGCATCTCAACGTTCTATTTTATTCATTAAATCTACGCGCTCCCATCAAAATATACGCACACGTTCGCAAAAATCCGCTTTATGCATCTAAAGAAATGGCGGCCAAGAAGCCGGAATAATTCGAGTTATTATCGAATAGCGTTCACTTAAATTTAAACCTTGTTCCAACAATATAAACTCTTTTGCAAAAAAAACGGGCTCTTTAGATTTTTTTCTCTACTTCAATGAAGAAGAACAAGAAATAGGTTTTATTAATTTGACGATATATTGGCATGTTATTTGAAGCAACCTGGCATGATTCTTTACGTTCCAAATTTAAAATTTGAAATTAATGAAAGAAAAATAATGATTATTGTGGATTATTCTAAAATTGCTTTACTAATGGCGCGAATTGCTGAAACGATTTTTAACTGATTACGATATTTTAAAACTTTTTGGATATTTTCTGCAAATTAAACAATTTAATCTTTCTTTTTACATTAAATACCACTTTTTGATATGAGTGATAAAGTGATAAGGGCCGGTAAAATTATAGCCCTGCTTGAAGAAGGTTGTTCGCAATCTTACGTGTCTCAGCGGCTAAATGTGAGTCGTTCAACTGTCCAGAGGACTTGGCAACGGTATCAAGAGACCGGTTCGATCAAAAGAAGACCCGGTTCGGGAAGAAAACGATGCACAGAACCAAGAGATGACCGCTTTTTGGTGAGTCAGGCGTTGCGCAATCGTAACGCGTCAAGTGTGGACCTGAAGAAGAGCTTTGAAGAAGTAAGAGGAGTAGAAGTTAGCTTGTGGACGGTCAGGAGGAGGCTTTTGGCTGCCAATATCAGGAGTTACCGCCCAGCTCGGGGCCCTAAATTACTCCGTGAGCACCGTGTTGCTCGACTTCAGTTTGCTCGGAACTGTGCTTCATGGACTCTGAAGGACTGGAATAAAGTATTGTTTTCTGATGAAGCTGGAATCTCTTTGTGTGGAGAGGACCGACGCCGGCGAGTGCTGCGAAGACCACGGGAACGTTATGCGGAAGTGTGTTTCGAAGAAATCACTCCTTATGGCGGAGGCTCCGTTATGTTTTGGGCAGCAATTAATTCGACGGAGCGTACGGAGTTAGTTTTCATAGAAAATGGAACATTAAATGCACACCGTTACATAATGGAAGTCCTAATTCCATATGCACAACCCACATTGACTGCACTTGGGGAAGATTCCATTTTTATGGACGACAATGCTCGCCCGCACCGTTCTGGCGACGTGGAAGCGTACATGCAAGAAGTTGGGATCCGTCGTTTAGATTGGCCAGCTCGAAGTCCTGACCTCAATCCAATTGAGCATGTCTGGGATGTTCTAAAGAGACGGGTAAGATCAGTGCAACCTGCTCCACAAAACATCAGGGAGCTAAAAAGAGTCATTGCAGAAGAGTGGGAACGTATTCCTCAAAACGTTATTAAAAACATCGTGGAAAGCATGCCCAGAAGGATTCAAGCTGTGATTTAGGCAAGAGGAGGTCACACTCGTTATTAGGTTTTTACATTTGTAACTTTATTTAATTAAAAAAAGTAAAAAAAATCTTGATTTTATTGCCGACCACTTGTTATTGTTTGGGCGTGTACATCGGTTTTAAAGAACCCATCGTTTTTTTTTCTTTTAATTGCCCGAATTCACTTCACGCGCATTAATTTACACGATTATAAGTATACAGACTAAGTCAAAGAAATAAATTTCATTTAATTAAGTCAAATCGACTTTAGAACGTCAATTTCCTTAGGTGCCCGTTTTTTTTGCAAAAGAGTGTAGTTTAATTTGTTTTAATGTCATAATCGTAGCCAGATGTAAAACTTTCATAAAATAATATAACAAAATTATTACAATAGCAAATTAATACAAAATATGGTTAATTTCTATTTTGTAAATCTTAACGATAAATAGTGTTACATAAGGATCTATATTTAATTGGGTGTTTCTTTTTAATAGGACTACGTAAATAATGTATGCAAAAGGTTATGGTAATTCGTAGGTAATTAAAATAGCAACACATAGCATTCATGAGTTCGTTTACAAACTTTCGTATCGCGACGGGCAGCTTAAACTGTAAAATTACTTTAAAAGCTATGATTATTTTATGTGTATAAAAAGTTAATCTGTGATATGAAGTGAAGTAATTGCCTAAAATGCCTTTTCAACTGGAAAAGAAGTTTTTGAGAATTATTGTTAAAAAATTGTTGTTTTTTCAAAAAGTTAAAGCTTCGGCTTTGCCAAAAAGAATTTTCACGCCTCGCCAATTGTATATAGTCATTTTTACTTGACATTAGCGAAATCATTGATTATTTCGACGGGGCCATAACATTTGAAAGAAGGAGAAGAAATAAGGATTTGTCATTTAAAAATTTGACATCGACTTACTGGGGCGGAACGAAGGTTGTTGCAAACAAGTTGAGAATTTCAGTCCGAGCCCCAGGTGAGGGTTAAGCGTCATGAGTGTGCAATAAACTTTATGCCTGAATAACAAACGTTTTTGTTATGAATTTGTGCGCACTTTTTTTGCAATATTGTTACAAATTAAGAAACTTCGGTAAATCGCGTTATATTTGTCTTTGCATTCCGATGGGAAAGACTATATCAATGATAATGGAGTTAAGCGCAGGTTGGAAAAGAGTTCATAATTTTCATCGTTATAGAAAATACAATTTTTATAGCAACTCTAGTAACATATTGATTCACTGCACTACTGTACACAGCTTCAATTTTCATGTCGAACAAGCTTAGAAACTGTTTATTTCATACTTTGTCATATCTACGGCATTCTATACAATACCTGGGTATTCTATACAACGCTTAGGAAATGTGTATCATAGTTTAAAAATCATATATATTGCCTGAAGAAGACCGGTATTGTATACAATGACTAGGTATTCTACACAATCCCTGAATCATACACAATGCTGTTAACATACACATGTTATTCTCTTTATGATAATTAGATATAAATAGGTTTTGCAGATGGTATACCAGTTCGGTTATTAAAACAATAACACACTCACCGAAAGCTTTAGCAATGGCGACGTTTCCCAGTACGCCAATAATAGGAACTAACACAATAGACGATCCGAGGTCGGAGCACATTTCTATGAAAGACACTTTTCGTTCACCGATTTCGGTGCTGAATGGCGGCGCCGACCAGGATGGAAGCCCTTCTCTGAAACAAATAACATTTAAGTTAGGACATAATGTTATATTGAGAGAATAGCCCCGGCCTCGCTATTCATTCTATTTTAGATATTAAATAATACGCGACGATGCGGAACAAACTGCAGTCTGTTAGATAAACCTACATATACAATTAAGTTCGACAAACCCGAGTTCGTTGCAAAAGAAGACCGTTATCAACTCAAGGTGCTGCGAGAGGCCTTTGAAATAAAAAAAAATCAACAAGGAAGTCGGTTTTTAGGTTTCTCCGTGTCACCGGTTTGGGCTCCAATAATTAATTGCTGTGATGTAAAATTTCAAGCAGATATAAGATTGAAGTAATATGGTTTAATAAATTTATTTTACTTTACTTTTAATTAAAAAAAAATGGATTTAAAAATTCATATAGTTAAAATACGTCGTAAAATAATCAAATGTGTTTTGTCGTTTGTGTGTGTTGCGTCGTAAAATTTTCAAAATAAACTTGGCAATATAATGTTTTGATAGTTATGGAAAATAAGCAAATGTTTGTATCCGCCTTTAATGTATCTACATAATACTTTTTTTTAAACTTTTTTTACAATTATATAATAAACATTGCATCGCAACTTAAAACATTGTGTATTATTGGTATTACTTCTTTAAAGGTGACTAATGACTTCTGTAAAACATTGAAGTTAGGCATTTACTGCAATGTAAACGAGACTGCAAAAAATGTGTTTACGCCGTATCTGTAAAGTTATTTTTTTCAATACCTTTGGTTTAATTCTTTAAATTAAATCTATAGTTACATGAAGGAGTAGGATCCAGAGCAATTCAGTGGTATACGCACAGCAAAAACTTATGTCCTAGAAACATGAACACTCGAGGGTTCGTTACTTTTATGTAGTGTAGTCGTATTAAGCACGGATTTTTCGAATTTAACCTCTTAAGTTTTTGGCCACGCCCGTGCTGCTGTCAGCGGCAGCTTAGTGCGGGGCGACGAGCGGCAAGTACAAAAGTATTGAAATGTATGAATCACGCCACGAGGCGACTCACTGAGTGACATCGCCCGCGATTTTCGCGAACGAAGGAGATGCCACGACTCAGAGCGACTCAAGAGCGGCGCCAGCGGTAAACGAGTGACACACTCAGCGGCGACCAGAGAAACAAAATATTTGAAAACATTCCAGAGCGGAAGACATTTATTGGTGAAATATTAAATTGGCCACCAACATGGATGGCAAAACACAGTCAGCATAAATTTAAAAATATTATAATGAGAGTAACAACTTTTCTGAATTGGTGACACTGACAACCCTTCTTGATTCAATATGGTGTTACAAATATACATTTTAAAAATTTGTACATCTACGTGTATTAGTAAAACTTGTCAGGATATTTTGTGTATAGTTCGTACATGTTACAAAATTCGCCATATTTATACCGCTCTTTATTCAATTTGTGGATTCGTTCCCTCGTGTCTAGAAGCACAACTTTAGATAACGCCATGTCTAAATAATTACACTACTGTTGCCGTCGCTAAACGTACGTGGTATGGACAACTCGCAGCTTGCCGAACCCGCCTCGCACCTAGCTAAGCCAAAAGTCGTGGCCAAGCCGTAAGAGGGTGAAAAAGTATAAAAAGATACTTATGAAAAATAGTATTCCTTGAATTTATAAAGATGAAACATAGTACAACATTTAATAATGTAAATGGCAAAAGATTGACATTACATTTTTTTCAAAACGACCCCTAAAACATTAATCAGTACAGAGTACTACAATATACATAATATAATATTTACACACTTTATTTATCATATACATAATAAAATTTTACATTTTATTTATTATATACATAATAAAATAATATTTTCTTCAAAAATAAATGGGACCACTAGTACCCTTTCTCCAACAAAATAAGAATCATTAACATAGGTTCACAAATTATCGCGTTATCGCGTAACATACATACAAAAAAAGACAGTCGAACTGAGACCTCTTTTTTTTTGAAGTCGGTTGTAAACTTAAAAAACTGTTTAACGCGTGGTATGATTTGTTTTACACTTGGTTTAGATACTTTTTAAAGTAGTGTTTATTTATTTGGCATTTATTACCAAATAAATGAACATGTGTTTCAGGGGTATGTTAGGGTATCGAAGTATTTAAAAAAAACTTTTCTGTAAAAAATTGTATTACTTACTAGGTTATCTTAGTAGGTTACAAAAACATCGAATTAATCATGTCCCTTTATACTTGAACTATAAAATAACTATAAAAGTCGTATTTTTCATATTTTTTTATCAACAAAATGAATATCTTGACGAAATTACGAATTAAATAACTGAAGAAACATAAAACTTCATGTTATGTAATCCTTTAACTCCAAATATCGGCTTTCAGACATGTTGATCCTGTAGTGGTTGTATTGCACTATTCATCATAGCAAGTTAGGACAGCTATCAATTCCCGATTAGATTAAAGGCTCCGTATTCCCAGAATTAGTTTGACGGCTCCACGTGAAGGACTTATCCGAGCAAATCTGAAAATTATTCACCCAGCGTTCTGCGAGTTTATTCGCAATTTGAACAAAAGACAGGATTCACCGGCATGGTTGTCAGTTGTTAAGGTTGCCTAAAATTTACATTTGAATTTCAGAATTCTTTTTAAACGGCGCCATCTTGAAATATTTTAGGTTTTTATAAAAAGAAAATACATTTAAAAGACAGACAACAAAAAAACGAACAAGTATTAAATACTACTCTACCTAATACAAAAAGGAAAAATAAACATTAAATAACATAGTTAAAAATTAATAAGAGAGATAATAAAAGAATAAAGATGTCAAGAAAAAGTTAGATAGATAGATAGATAGATAAACACTTTATTCACTGATATAACACAAATACAGATTAAGCATAAAAGAAAAAACAAAACATGATTGTCATAGCAGTGAAACGGCGCTGACTCAGCATATGCCAAAGTTTCCTAAGGCGCTGGTTTTCAGTCAGAACCAACGAGAGGGATTAAGTTATTAGAAAGCAAAAATATAACGACTATGAGTAAAGTTATACATTGACAATAATAATATACATAGTAAAGTGTAAATAGTGCATCTAAAATAACCTGTTTAACATGTAAGTGCATGAGCAAATGTGAATGTAATTACAGCTGTAGGTGTAAGTTATGACTGTAAAGAGGATTTAATGTTGTGTAATGTAATTAGTATTATAATATAATTATACACATAATAAGCATAGATCAAAGCAACAACAAAATTCGATTCTAGACAGACTACGTTGAAGAATAAAAACACACTACACAGATTTTTGAAGTGAGAGTAGGTGTTGCCGGTACAGTGCTTTGAATTTGGGTTTGGATGTCTCGTTGCGTATAGGTGGAGGAATATTATTCCAGCACTTTGAGGCCGAGTATTTGAAACTACCTCGAAAAGCTGTAGTTCTATGTAGTTCTAAGTTAATGCTCATTTATATGCGAAATATGCTTAAAAGAATAAAATATAGGTACGTAGCTTATTTTCACCTCGTGCATTCTGTTTGGTTAAGAGAAAAGAGTATTCATAACAATTAACGTAACATTTGAATTTTAGAATTATTTTTAAACGCCATCTAGAAATATTTTATGCCATTGTCAAAAGAACACATTTAAGCCAAACAATAAGAAAAAATATTATAACTTATTTTTGTTAATATCTATTACATAAATCAGTAAATAAGTTCAAGAGTTAAGGCTGGTAGACGCAAAACAATGCTCATTTAAAAGAAAATTACTTAAAAAGAACGAAAATTAGGTAAAAACATACATACACACCACGCAACGTTGTTTATAATAATCGTTACGTTTTAAGATCAATGAATGGACAAAGTCCACCAGTCCATAGCACATGATACATCAATAAATAATCTGTAATATAAAATAACAAAACATGGGAACTTAGTATTTCTGTCAATTATGTCCAGATATAAAAGTTATTATCGGTAAATGAAGAATACAATGCCCTTTTGTATGCAAGAGATAAAAGTCGAATGGAAAAAATTTTACATAGACGTTAAGATAATTTTAATGGCATAGTTTATGAGCTATTTAATGAATCCGCCTACTTGTAAAGTATTCACTTCAAATGATAGATTGTATAATTGTCGCCACGTCCTGTGTACTAACATAGTTTTATATACTATGTTAAAATTTAACATAGTATATAAAACTATATTATTTAATAATTTATAGTTAAAATGTACATTTAGAAGCTAAAATGTGGAAATTGCCATAAAAGAACATAAATAATATGATGTCATGGATAAATATAACAACAAAAAATTCGTATTAACGATACAAAGATCGAACACAAAGAAAAATTTTGTCGAACTGACTGGCACTCGAATTAGCGCCTGTTGCCATGCACAGGCACAGACTAGTAGTGTATTAAAAAAATTAAAATATGTTAGTAAAATATCTTGATATTCAACTTATCTACTCGATGTATTCAACAAATAAAATACGAAAAATCTATTAATAACTTTCAGCTCATAACACGTATTATGCTTTTTAATTTATTATTTCATAAGTAAGTAAAATTATGGAATATTCCGATGATTGACTTTTATGAGATGGTAAAGGAAATGTGATTTTATTAAAATAATATTATACGGGACAACTACATAAATTATCTGGTTTCAAACTAGGAAATTTCGTATTATTATAGGAGCACCAAAGCACCGAAATTCATTCAGAACACCCGACCAGAAATAATTTAGACAAGTTCATTTCCTAAAGAATCCGTTCATTTTTCCTTATAACTTTGCCCAAAACATGTACACAACTTGAGTACTATTACATATTATTCAATAAAAAAATACGGTGAATTCACAAAAAAATGGAATTTATTAATCAATTGTAACACTCAAAATTATCTTTCGAACATATAAATGACTGGCAACACGATAATTATGTACGTATCTATGCTTCAAACGGTAGGAATCTAGTTATCGGGATTATTAAAAAAAATAGGTCTAGTCATTGTGGTAGGTCAATGGGTCCAGTCGTCTTTTGCATGTCTGTCAAAAACATCCACTAATTCTTTTAAACTTATTCATTACGAGTTCATTATTATATTATTAAAATATCTAACAATGTTGGATAAAATATCTAATATGTCCCAAGCTGTTAAACCCTTTTCAAATGGCACTTCATGACGCGGTCGACACGTCAACGTCATAAAGATTCTTTATTCTGTTTCTTTATTTTTTTCCATTCTCTAAGGTTTCTGAGCTGTGTTTCATTTGATTCGCGTCTCTGACATTACTATTTCGATGCCTTATTTTCTCAAACTCGTATTTTCTAAAGAGCGGATTATTCAGGAGGAGGCAAAACTTTCTATTTCTCATCAAGGGAATTTGGATGTATTACTTTAAAAATAGGTAAAAGTCAATGTGTAAATATGAAGGAAACGTGATGTGAAATCAGCCTGCAAAATTTGTAAATACAATCCATTTTTTGCATTTCTTTAACTTTGTGCTTTAAGATACGAGTTTGAGAAAGTAAGGCTATTATTTACGGACATTCACATTCTCTCGATCGAACCCACTTGTTAGCTACAGTGACCGCTGTCAAATCACAACAATGCACGTTTCGTCGATCGCAGTATCGTTTATTCTTATAATTATAGAATTACATTTTAAACAATTTGTCTTAAAATTGAAAAGATTTCTTTTAAAGATTCCTTTCTTACACAATTTTAAAATGGTTTTGACATAAGTTGTACCTCGGTACACAATTTGGGGTAAAACTGAACACCTTCTTTGTTATACCGGAAATAAAACACAACCGCCTCATCTAGCGGCCACATTGCTAACCGCGGGGCCATTGAGGTCGTCAAATGTTAGATAACAAGCACTTAAAAACTATATAAGAAGTCATTGCACAATGACTTCTATTATATCAGCATTACATTGCTTCTTATGAGAAGATATAAACAAAAAACTTCAAAAAAATAGATAAGTTGGAACAAAGTTAACGATAATAAGGAAATAGTTGCACATGTTATAATGTTATTCTACGGACGATTTTTTGCAAGATCCACGAATAGACTGCCATGAACTTTATCATAATTATTTTTTATTAAGTATTAATCGTAATAACGTATAATCGTAAAATTGTAGGTACGGAATTTGTTCAACCAAGAGGTGGAAACCAGGAGTCCTAAGATGCAGGACTTGCCTAGTTTAAGCTCCAGTTTCTCACAACGCTTAGGTATATGCATCTGTTCCCTTGCTTTAAAAAAATATTGTGGGAGAAAATAAACAAATATTATTATAAAAAAAGATTATTTTCTGGAACTAGTGAAACGAGATCTACAAGTCCATATAAGCGGTTTTTTACATTTTAATTAGTTTTAGTTTCATTGATAAGCAAAATCAGGTAACTGATATTTCTCAAAGAAAAAAACTTTAGTTACTGAACGAAACGAAAGTTACCAAAATGCAAATGCGTTAGTTAAGTCTAGGGGGCCCGAAATACAGTGCATGGACATCTTTTTATGAAGTAAACATGAAAAAATTTGCTCGAAAATGAAGAATTATTTTCAAATGTAAAGAAACAAAATGATACCTTACAGGTAGAACAAGAAAACACAGTAATTTTGTATGAAATTCCGCTAAAGTCATGTCGCAATGCCGCTAATGACGTAGTACTGAGACCACGAGTATGCGATATCGCGAGCCATCGCCAGGATATCACGCACGCTTGTTGAGCTGGCTATTGCACTCAAACTTATAGAGCAACAAATATCAAAAATTTGTTTTTTTAAGGATTTTGGAGTTAAATAACTCTTATTTCTGCGAATAGTGCTATATGTATGCTTAGACGCATTCGTATTGTCGAAGACCTGCCGTTGCTTATACCATATCAATAAGATACAATTTTAATGATCAAACACTGACTGTGGACTACTAACCTGTGATACTAACGGCTCAATTTATATTGCGGTGGAACGGAATGGAAGCGAACTTTTGATGTAATGAACTTTATAGTCAATTGTGTAACGTACAAACTAGATAATTCAGAAATCACGTCGCGCGACTTCCGCGGAATTATCGCGCAGGCTCGAGAATGTTCGCGTTTTCGCGAGATTTCCGCAGCTGACGTCGACGACACCAGGCAAAGCCGCGGGAAGTGGCGCGGAGGCAGGCGCAGTGTGACGTCAAACGTCGACGAAATACTTACAGACTCAAGGCGCGGTCGATGCAATGCAATCCAGAGACTGCGCGCGCCTTCTCTTGAAATTGTCAAAATTTTTCCACAATTTCAATCCAATTCCATTCCGTTCCGTTCTGCCGCAATGTAAATTGAGCCTAACGCAAAATGAGGGAGTATCTGTCTGTATGTAGCATCATAGCCCTCAAACGCAAAAACTGATTATATAACGGTTTTCTTATTTGCTAATTTAAACGTGATAGGTTTTTAGGTACGTTTGGTGAACATATGTTCAGCTGCTTAAAGATCGTCATCTCTTTTCTCAGTTAATGCAGGGATTTCGGTCATAAAATGAATATTTATTTGTGATAAATGAATAATAGGATGAATAAATGATAGAAGAAATAAATGATTATTTAATATAAATGAATATTTATTTCATAGGTTTCTCTCAGATGGCGCTACGGTAAAATGTTGATAAAAACCAAAAACAAAGATTTGGAGACGAGCAAATAGGAAAATTCGTAAGGTCTGCTGTTTCGTTTCATATTTTGAACGAAATTCGTTTTGAAAAACAAAAAATAAAACATGTCGAAATTAAATGCTTACTTACCTCACTGTGCCGGTCAGCTTGAAGGGAGATCCGTCATTATATTTGTCGCATAAAAACGCTATCACAGAGCATAATATAACAATTATGGCGTTTCTCGAAATCGATAGGAGCCACAGCGTTTTATTCAGACCTTTTTGAGTCGGTGGCAGATTTAAATCTTTCATTTTCTGCAAAGGAAAACAACAATAAAAATAACAATACCTTATACACTAAAATCAAAATAATAATAATGTCACAACCACACCAATCACCTGGTCTTGAACTAGGAATTTCTGTATTATGAGCACTATCTAGAACACTCAGATTAGAACCAATTTAGAAAAGTTAACAAATTGGTCCATCCGGGATTCGAATTCGGAAATATACCCAAAAAACATTACTCTCCTTCTGCTAGAAACAACACTAGGTAAAATCGGCTAGAAACCCGATTTAAAAAATGACGAAATAATTATAGCTTAATTAAATTTTTATTGAATTGATATTCAATTATTTTTGTGAAATTACTCCACTAGTTTGTTATAATTATTAATACAAAGATCGAACACTCAGAACACTTCGTTGAAAGACCAAGTACAAAGACACGACGCAAGCACATAGAAAAA